TGATATTTCTTCGTTCAACGTTTTGGGTTTTTGCGTTCTTAATGATTTTTGTGTGTTCTTATCATCGAAAATGTTTTCAGGCACACACATCTCTCTCGGTTGTCTAAACATTTATATATTTATTTTATGTCATAACATGCTATAAATGCGATTTTATAAATATTTATTTTTTTTAATTGTGGTCGACTTGCAAGGATGCTATAGGGATGCTAAAAGTGAGATCCATGGTGATAATTTTTTGGCGAAGTTTTGCACCTCAATGAAAGCCATAAATACCAAATGATGACCAATTCGATTGAAGAATGTGCCCATAATCCCCATGATACTGTTATATGGGGGCTGCCCTAAAAATGGACAAATGTTTAACATTTTTTTAGTATGGAGATTATCTACCCAACTGGCGGTAGTTCTATTTTCGAATCCTTGCTTTACTGGAAAAAATCCTCACAGGAAATAGCACTTTTCATTTGGATATTTTGTTTCCGATTCTTGAATATAGAATCCTAATCCGCTTCTCTCCTGATACATCACCACATTTTTTTAATAATATTCATGACGGTTTTCTATAACATTTTTGATGTTATGCGCTACCCGTTCCTTGTACAAATTTCCAGATCCTACACACAAACAGGAATCCTACAATGTTCCAAAACTACATCCATACCCCAATTCTTATTTTCAAATTTCAGTGTTCCAGCTCTACCGTTTCAACTAAATCCAAATTGTACTAAATTTACTAAATTCTTCGCAATCCAAAATTCACACCCTACGAAATTGTACAAAATTTAGTACTTTTCGTGCCGTTTTAGTACGAAAATCTAGCATTATCTGCACTAAGAGTGACTCTCACCCCAAATTTCGTCTGAGCGTTGATGAATCGTTAAGTCAGTCAACCACTTTACTCCTTTATTTTTATAGATATAATGTTTTTTTGGCTCTATGACACAAATAAAACCAATGAGCGGAGCAGTGCGATACCCTACACAACTACCACGGAACTCTAACTTCTGCGGATTTTTATCTGAGATTATCGACACGACCAAACTTTATGCCCTTTTCACTTGTTACCTTATAAACTTTTCTGTTTATTTTTATACCCTTCACCACACTGTCGTACAGGGTTTTATGTCTTTGTGCATATGTTTGTAACAGGCAAAAATAATCGAGATAGACCCATGGTTCCTTTTGAGAATATGCATAGAATCACTTTCTGAGTCGATTTACGCATGTCCGTCCATGTATTTTTGTGAACAAAGTACAGGTCGCATTTATGATCCGATTTGTATGAAATTTGGCACAGTTCACTTATTTGGCCCAAGGACGAACCCTATTGAAATTGGAGAAAATCGGTTCAGATTTAGATATAGCTCCCATATATAATTTCGTCCGATTTAAGGTAAATGGTGTACCAAAGTCCCTAAATATCATTCGATTTGCACGGAATTTGGTATAGCCTACTGAATAATGTCTAGGATGACGTGTGCTAAATTTCGTGAAAATCGGTTCAGATTTAGATATAGCTCACATATATATTTTCGCCGGATTTTAGGTAAATGGTGCACCAAAGTCCCTGAAAATCATTTGATTTGCACAAATTTTGACATAGCGTTTTGAATTAAGTCTAGAATGACGTGTGCTAAGTTTCGTGAAAATCGGTTCAGATTTAGATATAGCTCCCGTATATATTTTCGCCGGATTTTAGGTAAATGGTGTACCAAAGTCCCTATATATCTTTCGATTTGCACGAATTTTGGTATAGCCTAGAATGACGTGTGCTAAGTTTCGTGGAAATCGGTTCAGATTTAGATAAAGCTACCATATATATTTTCGCCCGATTTTGGGTAAATGGTGCACCAAAGACCCTGAAAATCATTTGATTTGCACGAATTTTGTCATAGCGTATTGAATTATCTCTAGAATGACGTGTGCTAAGTTTCGTGGAAATCGGTTCAGATTTAGATATATCTCCCATATATAATTTCGTCCGATTTAAGGTAAATGGTGTACCAATGTCCCTAAATATCATTCGATTTGCACGAAATTTGGTATAGCCTACTGAATTATGTCTAGAATGATGTGTGCTGAGTTTCGTGAAAATTGGTTCAGATTTAGATATAGGTCCCATATATAGTTTCGCCCGATTTTAGGTAAATGGTGCACCAAAGTCCCTGAAAATCATTTGATTTGCACGACTGTTGGCATATCGTATTGAATTATGTCTAGAATGACGTGTGCTAAGTTTCGTGAAAATCGGTTCAGATTTAGATATTGCTAGTTTCTCCCGATTTTATGTAAATAGTGCACCAAAATCCCTATATACCTTTCGATTTGCACGAATTTTGTTATAGCCTACTGAATAAGGTTAGAATGATGTGTGCTAAGTGTCGATATATCGTAGCTCCCATGTATAATTTCGACTTATTTATGTTAATTGTACACCAAGTAATCAATAGGTGTCTGGTTGAGATTAAATTATAAACAATGCAGCATACCGAATAGCGTGTGACAAGTTTGCTTTAAATCGATTTACACAAATCTGTCCCGCTGTGCGCAAAATACACTAACATTGCCCAAATGAAATGAAATTTAGCATAGGTTCTAGAAAGACATACAAATCACATATATAAATTCGTTCAATTTCATGTTAAAATTCCTTCAAAAAGGCGACGTCTTGTCGGATACATATGTAGAATATACCCAAAGTGGTGAAGGGTATCATATAGTCGGCCCAGTCCGACTTTACTTCTTTCATTACTGTTTTTTTTAATTCTCCGAGAATACTGCTGATGTTTTACCTCGAATACTATTGTAAACCCCTCGTACCCCATTCGAACCCCTTCAATCAGCCGATGTTAATTTCGTCCTTCAAAAGAAGGCACTTCCATTAATATTACTTCTTATATATTCCGGGCTTATGTGTTATTTACACTCTGAAGAAACTTCTTAGTTCCATATTTTGATTTTCAGTGTTATGAGTCTTCAAGATGTTACGAACGGAAAGGCAAACTAATTACTGACTATATTCTATTGAGAAGTGCCTAATAGGTCTCCCGAATAGCATTTTCCCCATTTCTGCGAGATGTGTTTCACTTGATTTTGTTAAACTTCCTGGTAATTATGTTGACAAATGGTATTGTTTTAATAAAAAAAAAAAAAAACAACTGTGTTATACATACGCGCATATCCTTGATCATTATTCCACATTCCATTGCCACTATATGTCAACAATGACTTTGATAAAGGGTTTCCACAATAATTTCTACACAAAAACAAATAACCGGCATATTTAATTATTTGTTTTCTATACAACTGACATGGCATGGCTGGAGGAGAAGGAAGGCGACTAAACGACCAAGCGACCGACTTCCACTAATGATAATTTCTTTTGTTATGCTTTTAACCTTGGAAATGATTTTTGTTGTTGTTGTTGCTGCTATATGGTAGTTTCGCTCTGACAAGGACAAAGGTGGGTGTCCACCATATTCAAAGCAAAAATATGGTTTTGAAGGGGTGATAACAACTGTCAGTCCACCTTGTCCAGTGGTCGAAGACACTTGTTCTGGTTGAGCCACCATGTTTTGTGGCTGTGACAAACATTGCAATGAACCTAATATGCCCTACGCTACTAATAATCATGACTACTAAGTTAGTAGTCACCCCCTCTCTAGATTCCATGGAATGTTGATGGTTGTAGAAATTAAGAGGAGCCGTAGATAAAAAACATTTGTATACAAATTTATGAAATGCCACAGTAAAGAATAACAAGAATAAAACCCATGACAGGCAGGCAGGCTTTTCCGCACAGATGAAGGAGGGAGGCAGGCACACGACGACAACGACTATTGTCGTTATAGTCGATGGTAGTCGTTGTCGCCGCCGCCGCCACCATTGTCTCCAATCCATTTCAAGGCAAGGCACCAAAAGCAAACAAATCACCGGCAACCAGGCAGGCTGAAGCAGCTAACCAAAAAAATAATAACGTTAGCTTCGTCGTTGTTAACTGCAAACGTCAAGATGATGACGGCAGACAATAGCAGCTCCGACGAACCCAACCAACAATCGTAAAGATGATGACAAGCGTCGGTCAGTCAAAACGTATGTTTTTGCTTTTGGTCTGTGTGTGCTCGAAATTCCATGGACGACGACAACAGCAGCAGCAGCAGCGCTTTGCTTCAAATTTCTTTCTCTCAATGGGCCAAAGTGAAAAATTTTAGTGTTTCTGCCGCCATCGCAATACTCCGCACCGCATATCGTAATCGACTAAAGTGATACCACCGACGCGCCTTGAGGCCTGCTGCCATTCTTCGTTTGTTTCGGTTTTTCTGTTATTGTTGTTGTTGTTAACTATTGAAGTGACATTTTTTTTAATTTTCCAAAAATTGCTGCTGATTTTTTGTTTTCCTTTTGTTGTACTTGTGGTTTCATAAAAATTTCTTCCAACACTAAATGCTTGCTTAAATACAAAAGAAAAAAAAACTTGCCTTTAAAGTGAAAATCCTCCAATTAAAAAAAGGAGATAACATAACAACAACATTATCCCCTTGTTAACATAAGGAGACAAGGAAGAAAATCAAGAAAAACGATAAAAAAATCACAAAAGACGTCATCCAAAAAAACAGAAAAGAAAACTTGTATACATCAACTATCGAGGCGCCCAACGTGAAAATTGCTGCTTCACAACACACAAAGAAATTCACCAATTTTTATTCATTCAGTGTTCAAATTCGCAACGTTAACAAAATTACGCCACAATGATTAACAGTTCCTTTCAATTTTCTTGTAAATATCAAAATATCTTCTTTATTAATAATTTTTTTTATAAAAAAAAAACACTTTGCCAAAAAGTGGAAAATTTTCCATCCGCATAACACTCTCAGCTGTTCGCTACGTTTACTAACTGTTCGAAAATTTTCTTTCTTTTTTTGTTTGTTTTGTTTTTTTTCACTCTCCTATTACATCTCTACCGTTATTTTTCGTGCCGTCGACGACCAACCAAACAGCTGACGACGATTCGGATAATTGCCCACACGATTTCGAAGGTGGTGGTTCGGATCTAGAATACGGTTTATCCGATTTTAATGGTTTGCATCTGAACTCGTACAGTGGTGGTATGCAAGCAGAAATACAGGTATGTATATAAACAATTATAAATAATAGTAGTGAACATATAAATACATTCTAATACACATTTATTGTTGTATGTATGGATGTAATAGCTTCATTAGATTAAAATAAATAAAATGTCAAACTTACTATGTTAGGATTACACGAACTTGGTATACCCTTCAGCGGGCATAGATAAAATGAGTAGTTTAAGTCCATTTCAGGTTCATATCACATACATAGCATGTCCTACTAGTAAAGTAAAGTTTACAAAACATATTTCGTTATATATTCTATCATGTTTAAGGGCATATTTTTAAATAGGAATATAATATAAGAAATATGGACTTAAATCACTATTAAAATAAATGTGTCAATTATAGGTCAATATTGAAGCATCAGAACAGCTTTTGGCACAATTAGCTGCCAAAAATTATCTTGTAATTTAGAATAAAAAAATTATATATGGAGAGAAATAACATATAGTTCACCTACGATGGGTTTCACATACAATGTTGAAATTTTATCTGACGGGTGCCAGATGTGGCATACCGACGACTCACATCTTCTGACATGATCTAGGGTTGGTAAAAATATAAAGACGTTCAATGTTTAGATCAAATTTCATTCCTTTGCTATTGGTTATACAACTTTTGACACTTTGAGTGGGATTGACGAGAAGCGATGGACCAATGGGTCCCAACTTCGGACTTGATCTAAGTTTTTTCATTCCCTTGACATTAGATTTACAAATTTTCAAATAGAAACGCCTTCGTAATTTTCGGTTTAAACCCCTTGGCACAGAAAACGTTCAACTTGCGTCCAGGTTTGGTATAACGTCTAATTATACCCTTCACCACACTGTGGTACAGGTTATTATGTCGTTTTGCATATTTTTGTAACATGCAAAAATAATCGAGATAGACTTTTGAGAATATGCATAGAATCACTTTCTGAGTCGATTTATGCATGTCCGTCCATCCGTCTGTCCGTCTGTTGGTGTTAAATTGTAAATAATTTGTTAGCCCAAGGACGAACCCTATTGAAATTAGGAAAAATCGGTTCAGATTTCGATTTTCGTCCGATTTAAGGTAAATGGTACACCAAAGTCCCTATATATCTTTCGATTTGAACGAAATTTGGCACAGCGTATTGAATAAGGTCTAGAATGATGTGTGCAAAGTTTTGTGAAAATCGGTTAAGATTTAGATATAGCTCCCATTTATAGCTTCGCCCGATTTTAATTAAATAGTCCACGAAAGTCCCTGGAAATCTTTTGATTTGCACGAAATTTGGCACAGCGTAATAAATAAGGTATGGAATGATGTCTTCCAAGTTTCGTGAAAATCGTTTCAGATTTAGATATAGCTCCCATATATATCTTCGTCCGATTTAAGGTAAATTGTGTACCAAAGTCCCTATATATCTTTCGATTTGCACGAAAATTGGCACAGCATACTAATTTAAGTCTAGAATGATGTGTGCAAAGTTTCGTGAATATCGGTTCCGATTTAGATGTAGCTCCTATATATAGTTTTTAGGTAATTGGTGCACCAAAGTCCCTTTCGATTTGCATGAATTTTGGTATAGGGTACTGAATTAAGTCTAAAATGTTGTTGCTAAGCTTCGTGAAAAGATCCATAGCTAGGCCGATTGACACAAGGTACTGATGTAATATAAATTAGTCTCTGGCAAGTTTCCCCGAAATCGCTTGAGATATAGATATATAACAAAAACGTGTCGTCTGTTAGGATACATATGTAGAATATACCCAAAGTGGTGAAGGGTATCATATAGTCGGCCCAGTCCGACTTTACTACTTTCTCCACTGGTTTTTATATATTAAAAATGTCCTTCTAATTCCCCGTCATAAGGGTGGGACAAGGCCTAAAAATTCGAACGACGGAAAAGTAACTTGAAGGCCAATTAATGGAGTTTTGTTCGCGTTTTTACTGACTCGTAACACGGAGCAGCACTTTCAACTATTTACAGGTATCGATAAATGTCGTTAATGAACTTTTTCGTAAACTAAAAACACACACTACAACAATGCCTTCCATTAATCGGATTGTATACATTTAAAGCAGATTGCGTACAAATTAGCAGAGAAGTATAATCAAACCGGGTTGGTAATTTGATACCCTACATAACTACCACTAAACTCTAATATTCTGGGGATATGGGCAATATTTCGCGGTTATTTTACACACAATAGTCTTAGTTCATTTGATCGGCTGAATATTTCCTGCTAATTATCAAAATAGCCATTCTAAGTACTTGGTTTCACCGTATAAAATATGTAATGCTCCGCTTTTGAAAGTAGACTCTAGAGTGACAAGAAAACTAGACAAAAGTTAAGTTTTCGGTCCATTTCATCCCCGAAATAGCATCTGCTCACTACCGAAAACGATTGTGGTCATCTTTGGCCACAACCGCGACCCCATGTAAATTGCATAGCAATCAGCGCGACTTTTACGCCGTCTAGTGTGGGCATAGAATGCAAATTTTTCCTTTTCCACACAAAAGTCTGAGTCCATTTGAGAAGCTAAGTAATGATCGAATATCATGAAATGGATCATGCTTATTCTATGATCAGATCTCCTTCCACATGTAAAATTTTGAAGTAAGGGTCATAATTGTGGTCTCTAGGGCGACCAGAAAAACAAACGAAACAAGTTTTTGTCCATCTGATCCCCTAAACATTTACATTCGTCACGATTGTTCCATAATTTTATTTACACATTATAAGGGACTGAGGGACGAACATGCATGTCTAAATCGACTTCCAGAATATCTCGAAAAATATTTTGATAATCACTTGTCATTTTTATATAGTTACCTAGCACAGTAGTATGATTACACTGTCCCATAGACTCCATTTATATTTTGTTCGAAATATAATGTCATAGATAATTGTTTCTCTCCCCAAAAATAAGTCTACAACTTTTATACACAAACTTATCCGCAAATAATATGTGCTTTTCACTGTTATACTTATTTCGAAAGCTTACATTACTATGACAGAAAGCTTTGCAAAGTTTTACTACTCATAACAGTACCGAAGTATGCTATTGCTCATTGGTTTTTCAAATAAATCAGCTGTGCTTTACATTTTTTGATAAGTAATGCTAACTTAACCTGAAGATTAACGCGATTTTTTAAATAACAACATCTTACATGTTTTCTTTAATAACAAAAATTTATTAATACATGCAATTTTTATTAATAAAGTTAATAGATTTACATATTTTTTTATAATTTTATACTTTCCAATCTCAAGAAATTTTGTTGATTAATTCGGAATATTAAATAGGAAATCTCAATCTGAAGAAATTTTGTTGATTAATTCGAAATATTAAATAGGAAAGGAGATGAAATATAAAATTTTCGACTTATAAGAAATTACCTTCCTTGATTTCCTATTTTTCACATTACAAATTTTTATTAATTTCTCTCTTTTTTAGGCCGATTTGGATCGCCAACATTTGTTGGGCGATCGACCACGTAATGGCGTCTACGAAAGTGTGGTTTCCGATGGCATTGAGGGCTTGGAACATCAAGAAAGGTAAGTGCGAACAGTTACTATTAAAGCAATAAGCATTTGCAAAGCGTCTTAACACGCCTTCATACAGGTGTAATAATTTAATAGATTATTTGAGATACAAAAAATATTATATTTTCACAACGACGTCATTTATTTGGATGTGCACTGATGAAAATGTTTTGTTAAATGAAATCATAGCTTGCTTCATGCCTGAGAGATATTTTTTTAATTTTAATAAGGGATATCAAATTAGTGGGTGACATATTCATTTCACACTGCAAAACAAATTGGTGGAAAGTAATATACTCCATACATGCATAATATGGGATTATATTTTGTTTTTTCTTAGAAAAATTAAAAATGTGTTACATGGTGATAACTTAGTAGTATTATACAGAAATCGCAAGACAATTCAAAAAATTTTAAAATTCAAAGTCTTATAAAATATATTATTACTCTTGAATAGCTTTGGAGGTCTTCTAATTAAAAAGGAAATCTTAAAAATGGTATTATCTCTACAAAAGACCCATAAAGAGTAGTCACTTTACAGAAGATCTAAAGAAGTTATTTTATCTGTAGATTAAGGTCTATTGCAGGGTCCTCTATCTATGAAGTCCTCTGAAAGGTCTTCAATCAATAGAAGGCTATAGAAAAATCATCCATATTAGATCTTCAATATCAAATAAGTAAAGACATCGTTAAATTTGACGGGGCCGAACTGCACGTGTTGTGCATTCCTTAAATCGATCGGGAAAATATGTTTTTCCAATTTGAAAGACCATGTTTCGAGATATTATCTTTTTCTTGATCTTTCCATCCCTTCTGCGTGACCTTTCTCTTCAATAGGATCGCTTTTATATGCCATTTGAGCTACGAGCTAATTATTCCCTACACAACTATGTTGCAGCCCCAAGAGTTTGTAACGTCGCGAAATATTGGTCCTAGACCCACCTTTAAGTATACCGATCGTTATATCTCGGCTAGCTAAGTCGATCTAGACCGTCCGTCTGTCCATTATAATTTGTAAACACGATACAGGCCGCAGTTATGGACCAATCTTCACGAAATTTTGCATTTAGGATGGGTTCTGCCCAATGAAGACCCCTATTGTTTTTGGTAAAGATCGGTTAATATTTAGGGTATGAAATGGAACAAAAACTAAATTTTTGTCTGATTTTCTGGTCGCTCTAGAGGCCGCAATTATGGCCTCAACACCGCGAATTTCTACATGGAGAAGGGGATTGGGCCTAAGAATAAGCATGCCAGTTTTGATAAAGATCGATTAATATTTAGCGGGTCAAATGGACCCTGACTTTTGTGTGAAAAATGACTAAATTTGTATTCTATAGCGTATAAATTTGTCCCTGAAGGACCTAGACCCAAAAAGTTGATAGTATGTTCAAGAGGAGTGGTTGGCCTTTAAATTGATACCAATTATATTGTCGTATGTACTCGGATGTGGGAGTTACATTTAAATATTTACAGGTGCTTACGTACTCACATGTTATTTAGTAACGCTTTACCACACTAGAGGCGGAAATACAGCGCGGATCGCTTTGAAATTTTCCATGAGGATCCAGGTATGGTCAAGGATAACGCCTATAATTTTCGGTGATGATCAACTAATAATATGGGGATAAGGAGGACCGAAAACATAATGTTTTGTGTTTTCTCTAGTCAATATATAGGCTACAATTGAAAGTCGAACATCATAACACAACCCATGGTGAAGGGAATCTGGACAAGTAATTGGAAGGGTTTTACTGAATGTTAGTAATATTTGTTGACCTCTAGTCGGTCAAGAGGGTGCAAATATAGCGAAATATTTTCCATGCTCAGAAAGTTAGTTTTTCGTGGAAGTTGTGTAGGGTATCATATGGTCGGCCCCGTCCGACTATACTGCTCCGCTCACTGGTTTTATATTGTAGATTAAGAGATGGCCTCAAGATGCTAGATGACGTCTTATGCTTAATGTAGGCAATTATAGTGCTGTGGCCATTCTTGATGGGCTTGGCGTATTTTATTCCAATTTTTGGAAGTTTAAACCGGATCTCAAAATAGGTATGGAACAGGTTTCGATTTAAATATTTGAGGATAGAAGTCGATTTAATCCGTCGCCTATATGCCATCCTTAAAAGGACTACAGGTGTTTTTTGGGATACAGTAGGGTCTGCGAATGAGAATGAGAAATGGTGGATTTTCCCAGGTTATTCGGCTCTTGATCTATCGGCAGGTGATCAGACTTACGTTTTTTCAGTCAGGACATTTTGTTGTAGGTTAAGAGATGGCCTAGCTATACTTCGCTAGATGGCGTCTTATGTTTAATGTAGGGAATTATAGTGCTGTGGCCATTCTTGATAGGCCTGGTGTATTTTATTCCAATTTTTGGAAGTTTCAACCGGTTCTGAAAAAAGGTTTGGAACAGGTTTGGGTTTAAATAGTTGAGGGTAGAAGTCGATTTTATCCGTCACCTAGAGAACATCCTTAAAAGGGATACAAGTTGTTTTTTGGGATACAGTAGGGTATGCGAATGAGAAATGGTGGATTTTCTCAGGTTATTCGGCTCTTGATCTATCGGCAGGTGATCAGACTTACGTTTTTGCAGTCTGGTATGGTATAGCATCAGATGGAAAAATTATAGCACTGGAAAAGGAAAATACTATGCTCTTATTTGAAGTTGTGCCCTATTTGTTTGGAGGATGGTTCCTATAGATCTCACTCTTATAGATTAATCTTTGAAACGGAACAAATTGATAGGATTGATGTTTTCATGACTAGGTGTGGTCTCGCATTCTTGGCTAAGTTACAATTTGTACAGAAAATCACTATTTAATCATCTTGTTGGAGGATGCGGTTCAGTTGCGTGTGCGTAAGCACTTGCAGTCTTCGCTACATTCAATAATTTAGGCTATGTTACCCAATGGAAGGTGCCTTTGTTCTATCACAGAAAATTTTTCTCATATTTCGAACATTCCAGCGAGATATTGAATAAATCATACAATAGGCTGTATCCTTGTTTGAATCCTCGTTGGGTATGGAGAGGTCCTTTTCGATCTTTACGGCTGATCTTGTGACAGGAATTCCGAACATGGCTTTAAAGCCTTTGAGCGAATATGGCAGTCGAATTATGTTTTTAGTCGACGAGTAGGTGGAATGTGACTATGTTCTTTTATAAGGGTTTTTTCAGGATTTATCGTAAATACATAAAACCAGGAGATGCACACTGCCAATCTGCATTTGACCACCGGTCATAACAGTTCGATTTTGTATTCTTTAGCCGATTGTTTACTATTAGGAGCACACTTTGGCTAAGAGGTGTGTACTCTATACGGTTGAAGATTTGCCATTGAACAAATAGGTTCCACAAGATTTTATATAGGAAATATTATCTTCCACAACATTTTGTATGAAAATTTTATTAAATTCCACAAGATTTTCTAAGAAAAATATTAAGTGCTAAAAAAATTCTATAGATGTTATGTTCCTCAAGGTTTTATATAGAAAATATTATGTTCCACAAGATTTTCCAAAGAAGATATTAAGCTCCACAAGAGTTCCTTTAGAAAATATTACGTTCCACATGATTTCCGTTAGAAAATATTAAATTCCACAAGATTTTCTCTATACGGTTCTGTGGTACCTTCGCCGCCAACAATTTGAAGATGAAGCTTTGAAGCAAAATGCTCTTTCTCGATACCGAACGCACTAACGTCTTTGGATTGGCGCTTTGCTCGTTGATAAAATTTTCGAACTTCATTCCGATTACAGTACATCTTAGATTTGTTCACGTTTTTTTTTTCAATATTATGTTCCAATGATTATCGTTGGAAAATATTGTGTTCACAAACGTGTCTACGGAAAATATTATGTTCCACAAATTTTCTATTGAAAATATTATGTTCCACAAGATTTTCAATAGAAAATATTATGTTTCACAAGATCATCTACGTATTCCCCAATAATTGCTATAGCCAATATTAAGATCCACAGGCTTTTCTATAGAAAATATAAAGATCTGCAATGTTTTCTATAGAAAATATTAAGCTCCACAATTTTTTCTCTAAATAATATTAAGATCCACAAAGTTAACTATAGTAAATATAGTGTCCCACACTATTCACTAAAAAAAATACATTGCACTAAATTAAGCTTTTTTAATATTATTTACAAATACATATTTATAAAATTAACCTTATATTATTCAAATCAAATGACCTTAACATTTGCGTACAAAAAATGATTAAATAATTCTGACATTTAAAATCGTATTATCACGCTAATAATTTATAGCCAAAGTTACAATTATATCAACGGAAACGGAAATGAGATTCAAACTGAAAAACCAGCAATAAATTTTGCATCACTACAACTACTGCTCCGGAACAAAGAGAACACTTTCATGACTCTTTTGAAAAAAAACACACATACACACACAAACCAATCTCCTATCATAAAATCTACAACAAGGATGTGAGAGAAATAACTACTGTGTTCGTATGTGGAGAAAATGTGTTACGCACATAACATAACAATCGTTGACCTCCGTACATAACCCGCATACATGCTCTTGCATGTTTGCCGACAATCTATGGGCCAAAGTTCATGTTGCATTTACCGAATATATGTATATGAATAAATATCCTCAGGGTTCCCTCTCCCACCTATCTTCCTCCCCAACCCCCTCAACATTGACAATGACGTCAGCAGGACACTCTATTATGCCACTCATGTTCGCATTGCTTTCGTCATAATAAGGTTATGACCTCAATGAAGTGCTGTGTGGCAGCAACGAACAATCAAATTTACAAATAAACAAATTTTTTGTATTATTCAACCTTTCAATGGATCGAAATAAATACATTGTCGTTGTTGTCGTCTTAAGGGCCATTAGACAATTTTTTTTTCTTTCCATTTATCAAGGTAATGGAGTGTTATCCTTCTCCAACACGTCACTCCTCTCCTCCCCCTCTTTGAACATAAACTAAAAATAGAAAGAAATTAGAAGTTAAAAGCTAAAAATA